GACAGTTACAGAGTGTTTACACAATTAAACTTTCACTGACAATACTGTGTCTGTGATGAATGTGTGTGTGTTTATATACAGTATATTTAGCTTCATGTCTGCTCTTATAGGCCTGTGTGTGTGTGTGTGTGTGTGTGTGTGTGTGTGTGTGTGTGTGTGTGTGTGTGTGTGTGTGTGTGTGTGTGTGTGTGTGTGTGTGTGTGTGTGTGTGTGTGTGTGTGTGTGTGTGTGTGTGTGTGCGTGTGTGTGTGTGCATGCAAGCGAGCGAACTATAGCAGCACATTTGTCATGATTGCCTCTCGCCCGCCACCTCTCTGACGTCCCCTCGGCTCCTGCCACTGTTGCATTGTGGGTAAGAAGAGGAGGCGGGTGGATGAGGTGATGAAAATGAGAGAAAAGGAGGGAAGTGACAGAAAAAACAAGAGGAGGAGAGATGGTCATAAACATGGGTCGGAGCAGTGTTTGTCACCTGCAGTCAGAAATCAGTGATTCTTCTTGTCTGTGTGATCTTTGATTAAAACTCTAGAGCTTTGTTCTATATGTAGTTGATTCAATCAATAATCTATAATCATTAAACAGTGTATAAACTCTAAAGCTTGTACTGTACCTTTAAATTATCCCAAATGTTTCCAACAACGTTCAAACTCAGAGAAATCTGTCATTTTATTCAGGTAACGCTGCGTTTCACCGGTCGCCTGTCGATGGCGTCATATCCCCTTTGTGCCTGCGTCAGCGTTGTGGTTGTCTGCCAGAAGCTGTCATACATTGACTGTTGATCCAGTCTGAAGCCACATTGTTACCATCCACTGTTTAGATCTTGGTGCTTTTTAACTCTAGATTTGAACCGGATGAAGGATTTTAGTCATCGGACGTCTGGATCTTAAGTTATCAGAGAAACAAGCTGAGCTAACGTTAGCATGACATCATAACCTGGGACCTGTTATCTTTATCCTCAGGCTCTTTGGTTTGTCATTGTGTCCTGTTAGTTTCTCTTTCCATTTGCTTTTTTTCAGCCTCTTAAAGTTGCTAAATGACTCACTCGCGCGCTACATGTGTCCGCCTTATCTGCTGTATGACATCCCACTTGTTAAGCCAATTATATTTGTGTCTTCCTCACTCTGCCGTCAGTTTGTCTCGGCGGCGGCGGTGGTGGCGGCTGGTGGAGGTTGCGGCGACCTTGCTGTAGCTCGCTTTGTCTCGTCCCGTGCGCCACCACCGTCACGTTAGCTAGTTATCAGTCGGACACAACGGGCTCCCTGAACCAGGCAGCGCTGTTAGACTGTCAGACAATGATACACCGTCCCGCCGAGACTTCCTCGCAATCACACGTGCACACACACACGCGTGGAGCGAAACCCTCGGCACTCTGGGTATTGTCCAAAGATCACAGGCGTAGGTGAGTTGTTCTTTTTAATTAATCATTTGTCCTTCAAACGGGGGAAAGTTTCCGTGCCGTAGATAATTAGGTCCCAGAGTCGGGCGGCGGCGGAGCCGGCAGCCACCTGCTGCCTTTGTAGCGCTAATCTTTGTCTTGTAGGAGCGTCGTCCCCGAAGACGCCGCGGCAACGCTCGCCGAACGAGCAGAATGAGAAAACACCTCTGAATCCCCACATGGTCCTCCTCCTCCTCCTCCTCCTCCTCTACCTCCTCTACTTCTTCTTTTCTGTTTATCGTTTTCTTCGACATGCTCTCTCTCAACTTCTTTAATGGTTCTGTTTTTGCTTATTCTCTCGCTCCCACTACTCCTCCTTTTTCTCCACTTCTCTATCTTTTCCTCCTCTCCCCTCCATTGCTACCTCCTCCTCTTCCTCTTCTCCTTCCTTATTCTTGTATTTCCCCTACTATTCTTCTTTCTCCTCCACTTTTTCATTCTTCCTCTCACTCCCTGTTCCTCTTACTAAACCTCCATTTCCTCCTCTTTCTTCTCCTCCCCCTTTTTCTCTCTTGTTCTTCCCATCATTTCCTCTACTCCTCCTTCTCCTCTTCCTTTTTTTCCCTAAAGCTTCTCTTCCTTCTTCTCTTTTAATTTTGCACATTTTTCTTTTATTCACACCTTTGCTCCTCCTCGTCCTCCTCCTGCTCTTCTTTTTGTTTTTCTTCTTTTCACTTCTTCTCCTTCCCAAAACTCCCTTTTCTCCAGTTTTTTATTTTTTCTTTATTTTGTTTCCTCCCCTTTCCCTTCTTTTTCTCCTCTTCCTCCCTTTCCTCCTCCTTCTTCTTCTTCTTCTTATTATTCTTCTGTGTGTTTCTATGGGGAAACTTATCCCATTAATTCAAAGTGAATAAAAAAGAGAGAGACGGGGGGGAGGGTGGGGAGGAGGGTGAGGGAGGAGGGGGGGTCCTGCTCCCCTGTCGTCCCTCCCTCCTCCCTCTCTTCTGTTTCCTCTCTCCCTCCATCATCATTATTCCTCCGTCAGATCGGCGGCTGATTTCCTGGAGGACCGAGAAAGAACAGACCGACTGATGGAGGGATGGAGGGAGGGAGGGAAACAGAGGGAGGAGAGAGTTGTAGCTCCAGCTCCTCCCGGGAAGCCTGTTTCCTCTCCTCCTCTTCACCTCCCACTTATTCTTTTTCTCTTCCCCTCTTCTCCTTTATTCCCCCTCTCACACCCTCTTTCTCCCTCCTCTCCTTCCTTGAGGAGTACAGTACATCTTCACCTCCCTCCTCCTTCCTTTGTTTTTATTTTTTAGAGTGCATCTCTAACTTCCTCTTGCTGTCTTTTTCCATCTCTTCTTCCCTCACTTCCTCCTCTCCCTTTATCCTCTCTCACCCTCTTTTTACCTCTTCTTCCCCCTTCCTTTTTTCCTATTATTCTCCTTCCTCCTTCCTTTCTCCTCCCTCGCTCTCCTCATTCATTTTTAACTATATCTACAACTTCCTCTTTTGGTTTTTCTCCAGCACTCTATCCCTTTTTGCCTCCCCCTTTACCTCGTACTCCCTCTCTTTCCTTTTCTCCCTCCTTCATCTCTGCTTCCTTCCCTCTTTTTCTTCCATCTTCCTGTTTTCCCTCCCTCCATTTCCTCTCTTCCTTTAACTCATATTACATTACATATTGTAGGATTTCTTTTTATTTTATGTCTCCTCCTTTCATTTGTTTGTCTCTCCTCCCCTTTATTCTCTTCTCTCTCTATTTTCCTCCCTCCCTCCCCCCTCCCTCTTGTCTCTTCCTCTTCAAGGACATTTATATTATAAAGGATGAATTTGCATATTAATTCATTTCTTTCAATTTTTTCAGATTAGACGTTGTCAACACGTATCAGCGCTGATCAAACTGCCGCGTCCACCAGAGACCTGAGTGAGTGTGTGTGTGTGTGTGTGTGTGTGTGTGTGTGTGTGTGTAGGCAGAAAAACAACCAGCCTCACATTATTCATGACACAAAAACACGCACTGTGTTCTCTGCTGAGCACCAAGATATGAACAGTATACACACAGACACACAAATAGACAGAAACATATTGAAAGACAGATTCTCCTTTAAAACCACATGAATGAGTTCATTTTCATTTGTTCAAATAACTAAAATAACAAAAAAAACTTCTAATAAAAGCAGGGTCTCCAATAGAGGCCTGGTCTGGACATTATAGAAATTATCTGGATGTATAAAACCTCTTAAAACCCAGCAGGTCGCCCGGTTGAGTGAGTTTTAAGCTGCTTAGATCGCCTACACAAATATACATTTATAAACTTCTGTCAATATGGATGCCGCACATCGTTAGATCAGTTCCACAATTCAATCCTTCGGTTCATTTTACGGAAACTATGAGCACCAAAGTATAATTAATTCAGATTTACCGGCACTGTAAACAAGAGGCGATCATAAAGTCAGTCTCATACGTTCTGTGTCCCTTCCTCCATTATTTATAATATTTGAGTCCGTCAGTGTAACAATCAGAGGGTGAAGTCTGTTGCTCGCTGTCTGTACGCTTGCTGCCGTAAATCTTCAGCTGCTGTAAAACCTCATTCAGGTTCAAGCGTAAAGGCGGCAGCACGGAGAAAAATACCACCTGAAATTCAAGCTCTTAGTTTCAAGTTTGCTGAACAAAACTCAGGAGAAGCAGCACAATTTGATAATATTTCCATCTGCCATCAGTTTTATGCTGAAGGAATTAAACTCCTCTCCCATAAATGACCACAAAATTAAGACCCAAAGTCGTGTGAGACTGAACTCTCCCTTCAGGTTTAGGTTACAGGTTGGCGTTGGGGGTTGCTAGGTGTGAATGAGGGTCCTCACGAGTTCAGTAATACAACGTGGACAGCTGTCCTATTGAACCGTGTGCTGATCAGTGTGGGTCAATGTGTGAGTATGATGAGACGTTTCCCAGCTGTCTGTCCTCCCATCAGTCCCTCTGATGGATGCAGAACTTATGAATATGCAGTTCTGGCTGACAAATGGAGCGTCTCACCTTCAGGAACCGCCGTTGCGGTGGACGGTGAAAAATGTCCTTCCTGTGTGGGATTGTATGTTTTGAAGGATGAGACTGTCACAGTCTGGTTAAAGCAACAATTTGAAAGTGTCGGGGAGGATGCTTCAGCTGAGACTTTTATTTTGAAAAGTCCTGACCTCAGAAGATAACACCTTTCAAACGTGTCGGATATTTCTGCTTAACACACCGTTAATTTGTGCCTGTTTGTCTTGTTTTCCTCTTGTCTTGGCTCCTGACGTGTTTTGACATTTGGCTGTTTGATTATGAGGAGCTGCCTTGAGATGATTGACAGTTTGACAGCGGCTGCGATTGGCTGACGGGTCCTGCTGAGAGAATGAACGTATTTATTTGTTTTTACACCAATTAAAATCATTCATCATGTTTCAGGACAGATTTCAACTCTTTCCTTTTTGACTTTATGTCGGCCTTCCAAGTCTGTATCTGTGCTCATCTGTTAATTTCTAAAGGAAACATTTTGTTCCTGTTTTTCTGCTTGTGATTTTGAATGTTTTTAGACATTATATGTAAAAAACTAAATGTCTTCATTTCTGTATGTTCTTGTGTGTTTTCCCAGTGGAGTCCAGCAGTCCCAGTCTCCTGGCCCCTGATAACACTCTGGAACGATCCTTCTTCGTCCGGATGAAGTCGACGCTCACAAAGAGAGGAGTTCACATCAAGTCCTCAGGATATAAGGTGAGACGACGTTCATCTTGTCCGGACTATTGTTGCCTCTAATTTCCTGTCATGCTTACTCTTCCTGGTGAATAGCACCCCTAGTTATATTGCATGTTATTACAAAGCCTTTCTTGTTTTTTTTGTGTGATTTCCAACACACTCTCCCGCTTGTTCAGTGCCCCTATGCTTCAAAATATAACGCTGTAGGTATCCGTCTATCAGGCACGCTGCATCCTGAAAGAACTGGAAAACCTGGAGGTTGATTAAAATGACCAGATATCCTGGAAATAATCTAAGTTGTCCTGGAGATGTTTGTACTTTTGCCCCTCACTCAGATCGCCTACGTAAACCTGGGTGCCTGTTTTGTTTGAAACTCGACTGTTGGTGGGATAAACTGTGTGACACCTCACCAGAAATGGGATTGACCTGCAGTGATCTTTTTTGCCATGAAGTCTATTTTTGGCCGAGCTGCAAGCAAAATTTACATATCTTCTTGTCTAATAATGGTCACATTTCTTGTTGCTGTGATAAATATCATCACCTCTACAATGAAAACTCTTTCTAGAGATTCATTTTCTTCCCAAAACCGCGGCTTATATATTTGTGCTGTCCTGTATTGTCAAGAAAAACTCCTGGAAAGTGAACCCTGACTCCACGGTCAGGTTAGCTACAATAAATATTCAGACTATGGTCAGACTTTCAAAACAAAGCGATGCCAAGTTGCAGTTTTTAAAAGGAAATACAAAAAGGAAAATCAGTAGTTTAGAGAACGGACCTGAACCATTAAATGAACCTGATTTATTCTTAAAAAGTAAAACTGACCTTAAAAGGTAGAACTAAAATAAACTGGGACAACAGTGGCGTCGTGTTTGTGTGTCGATGTCTTTACATGTTAAACCTGCTGACACACACACACTCACTGGGGAGACAGGATTATGTGATCTGACCAACATATCTGTGAGTGTGTAAGACAGAGGAATACCTTATCAGCCACTGGCTTATAGTCTTACTAGCTGTCATCAAATGAAGTGATCCATATGGAAATCTGTAATCCCACCATGGACAAATATGTGTTGGAAAGTGTGTGTGTGAGTAACTGATGGTGTGTTAAAGGTCCAGTGTGAAACATTGAGGAGGATCTATTGTCAGAAATAATATAATATAAATAAATATCATTCATAGGTATGTTTTCATTTGTGCTTAATCCCCTGAAAATAAGAATTATTGTGTTTTTGTTGCCTTAGAATGAGACGTTTTATCTACAAAGGGAGCGAGTCCTCTTCTGGCGGAGTCCGCCATGTTGAACCACCACACTGTAAAAATAAAACAGTTCAGAGAGCTCATAGTTTAGAAGGGACTTCACTATTTTTATCATATTATAAGTGAATTATTGCACAGATTTTTGTGTATTATGTAAAAAAGATAAAAAATATTAAAGTGAACCTGCAGCTAAAAGGAGACCAGAAAATTAATATTTGCAAGAAAATAATAGAAAATGAATCCAGAAAGACCAAACACATAAACTCAAATCACAAAGTTGAATATTTTAAGGGAACTATATTCACTCGTTCTATGAGTTTTAAATCAAAGTCAAACTTTTAAGTTTTGAAATAAACCTAAAAATAATCTTTTGTTGAGATAATTAAATTTTCTTATTTAGAAACAAAAACTGAAGTGAAAAGTGAACCTGAATTTTCCTTATTCGCACTGTAGGAAAAATTGAAAAAAACCCTAATCTCAAAGCAACTGTCATTGGATTTTAAACTTTTGAAATAAACTAATAATGATGATTTACTTCCCTGTGCATAAATGAAACTGTGCATGTTCTACAAAAAGAAAAAGAAATTCATTGATTCAGTGACTCTTTAATTCATCGATTCTCTCACTGACGAATTTACTTAATAAATATATGAATGACAATAAAAAGTACAAATAACCGGGAAGTGCTTTTATTTTGTTATTTAATCATCCATCAATGAGAAAGTGTGTGTGTGTGTGTGTGTGTGTGTGTGTGTGTCGTATACCATGTTCCACCTGGCAGACTCCGATCACATGCAAATCACAGTGGAGACAGAGACGCACATAAATATTCATCCACACGCATGCATATATTACTACACACATCACTGCAACACACACACACTCTCACACACTCACACACACACAGTGTTATAGTTTTAAAGCCGTTGTGTTGCAGCAGAGACCTGCTGGTGGAAGCTTCCTCCTCTGTTACTCACGGTAGAGGCGCCCTTGAGCAAGGCACCTAAACGTGCCTGTAAACAGTTTTAGTATTGAGTTGCTCCAGAAGGAGGTGGAGGCTGTGACGTAGTGGAAATCTGTCTCTTAGAAACGTTAATGCTGGCTATTATATAAAAGTCAGTATCAGTCCTTCCTCAAGTCAGGGGCAGATCTACAGGGGTTCAGCAAAGTTAAATTTCACATGAAAGCTGTGCTCGGATTTTCTTTGACGCTCAAATCAAATGAAAATTTAGCCATTAGCTGAACTGAAACTGAGGATATTGGAGGAAAAATGCAGGAATGGGGAACGAGAAGGAAGAAAACTGAGCGTTATAAGGACAGATTGTCGACTCCACTGAGCTTAAACACACACACAGAAAAAACGAAGAAGCGTCTGGGAACTGTTGCTGCTTTGAAATGAGACTTTTCTCTGTTGTTTGACCCTCATATTTGCAGCATGTAAAGAGAGAAAGAAAGAGACACTGTTTAAAAGACAAGCAAACATTTCCCCCGCGAGCAGCAGCTGATTAACATTTCTCGCAGGTCCATCGCGTCCGACAGACTTTTGAAGCTTCACACGAGTTTAAAGCTCTGGATAATTACACCCTTCACTCTCCCTCTGCCTGTCTTTTCTGTTTCATTCACTTCATCCCTCGAGGAAAAGAACAAAAACCAAATGAGAGAGGTAAAATCCCCCCAAAAAGTTCTCCTCAATTCACCTTGTCTTTATCGGTGCTGACCTCTGAATTCAATCTGTGATAGTCGAATATTTCAAACTGAATTCCTTTACATAGCAAAATATAGCAAGAGTTAAATATAGAAAGTAAGAGCAATATTAAGCTTGTGGCCCGTTTTACAAGCCCTGCATGATCATAAATTGGTTTTATTGCACAAACCACAATGAAATGGACTCATTAAACACAATGCAAACACAAAATAACTGCAAGCTAAACTAAAAGCTCTGAAAGTTTCCAGCAGAATAAATATTCCACAGTAGAAAAAATTATTATATAAATGTCTAATTAGTCCTTTCTTACTACAGTTAAACTCTGACGTCCATATACCCAAAAAAAGGACGTGTTGCACAAAGATCGATTTTACTCTTTCCCTGAGCTTTTCACTCTCTTTCCCTGAGCTTTTCATTCTTTCTCTGAGCTTTTCACTTTTTCTCTGAGCTTTAAACTCTCTTTCCCTGGGCTTTTCACTCTTTCTCTGAGCTTTTCACTCTTTCTCTGAGCTTTTCACTCTCTTTCTCTGAGCTTTTAACTCTCTTTCTCTGAGCTTTTCACTCTTTTTCTGAGCTTTTCACTCTTTCTCTGAGCGTTTCACTCTCTTTCTCTGAGCTTTCCACTGTGTTGACAGTGAGATACAGTCAACAGACGGACCTGTTGTCCTCACTGTAGTTTATATTCACCATGAAACACTGTCCTGCTGATCCAGTGGCTAATACGACTGTAACTGCAGAGTCCAACGCCGGTTCTGTGTCTTCATTTCTCAGTCGCTCAGTTAGGAATCTGCTTGCCCAAAGTCAGTTTTTACTTGCCCTGATACAAATTGATTTATTTATTGGCGGTTATCAAATAACAGCAAATCAAAGAAGAAAGTCTTTCAGAAACATGAGGTGAAGAACGAGCAACTTGCTCTCAAAGTTCACCACCATCACTGCTGGTTGTTGATGCATTCATGGATACTTCACAATACCAGTCAGCTCTCAAAGCATCTTGGGTAAAGTAGGCGGAACAAAGATATGTATAGACATTTAGATCAGTCAAATTGGGGCAGTACTTAAAGGGACAGTTCACCCCAACTGTCCCTTTGAGAATGGTTTTCATATGGTTGAAACGTGTACTTACCCTCTCTTCCTGGTGATATTGATCCACTCTGTCTTTTTCTTTCCCGGTAAGGTGATCCACGTCACAGGGCGTCTTCGCATCAGGATGGCGTTGACGCACAGCCGCTCGGTGCCCAATCAGATCATGGGGATGGTGGTGGTGGCACATGCCCTCCCGCCGCCCACCATCAACGAGGTTCGCATCGACTGTCAAATGTTTGTCACCCGAGTCAACATGGACCTCAAGATCGTCTACTGCGAGAACAGGTAGAGGAGGGAGGGAGATCGTCCTCTTTATACAGCGCTGCTCTCGTGGTTTTGGATAATTTTTTAATAGATATAAATTCTTTTTTTGCTCTAGCATAAAAAACATAAAACTCAATTTTTCCTTGACTGTTTCTGCATTCATGTTTCATTCCTGCTGTTCTCCTGTGTCAGAGCTTCTTATTCATGAGATAGTCTGACCCAATCCTCCCTGGTTTAACAGTGAAATATGTTGCTGATGGATCTGGCTCCTTCCCTCTGTCCAGATAAAGCAGATAGGCATCAGGATCTCGCTCAGGAGTTAACCGGCCGACCGGAGAGATTCATATCGGGCAAAAAAAAAAAACCTTCATGTTTTATTATAAAAAAGAGAGGAGGAAAAAATGATAGTAGACAGATTGCTTTTTTTGTGGGTGGAAAAAGGGACACAATGGGAGGCAGATGATGATATTCAATGCGGAGCGACAGAAAGCGAACAGACAAGCGTCGCTCCCATTACAGCCCCATTTTGAGGATGAGTTTCTAAGAGAATGAGAAAATGGGAGGTTTTTTTTTTCTAAAGAACAGAGTGTGCTGTTATCTGCCTGCCAGACATTAGCCTCCCCCCCCACCCGTCCTCTATCAGAATGATACCTGGGAAATTGTTCTGTCTATCCTGTGGCGAATTTGTTCAAATTAAACCTTTTACGGCTGATGTGTGTTACCTGTACAATAGACAGACGGGCTTCAGTCTCTGTTGTTGGGTCTTTTTTTAATCGTCGAGTAGCAGAACTCTACTGAGAAAATTGTCCAGTGGTGACAAGTTATATATTTCAAAATTTCACAACGTTTCCACTCGCAGTTTTAGTGCCGTGCAAATATGGACACAGGAGCTCGTCCGGCACAAAGAAACAGCACAGATATTGTCAGCAAACAGAGAGTCCCGGAGAAACCACCAGGTTGCCTTCATCGTCGAGCCGCAGTAGATTTGACTGAAGTTAGGCCTTGAAGCAGTTGTTCCCAGTCTTTTTCCTCAAGGGATTCCCTTTTCTATCATTTAATGAACTGACAAAAAAGTTACATATTTTATGGATATTTCAAATTATATTTAAAACTTCACAACGAACCCAAACAGTGAACTCTCTCTGTGATATTTGAGCAGATCATTTCCTGTTTAAGAAACTTTTTATACAATTCTCTGATAGTATTATGTGTTTTTTTTTTATAATTCTTAACAACTTAATAGGCTTCTTTTTTTGACAAATTCAGTGTTTCCTTGTCCTTGGCACTTCAATCAAGAAGGCCTTGTGACCCCCCATGAGTCTTTGCCTTAAAGTAGATCTATATATAATCCTCCAAAGAAATTAAACCCAACTCAAACACTTTTTTTGAGTGAACTTAAATTTGTGCAGTTATTTTCAATGCAGGCGATATAATTCCAGTTTGTTCCATTGACTCATTTTCAAGTTGATTTTATATCATTACAATAATATAAGCATTATAACTCTGTATATTTGAGGTCAATTTACTCATCAGGTTTTATAGTGTACTGACTGTGGGGAACATAAATGAATTCCCAGATTAAAGAAAATGCCATTTTGACCCTTTAAGACTACATCCTCAGTTATATTGTGCCCCTATTTAACAATGTCTGCAATTGTTTTTTACAAAAACTCAATTTCCTTTTATCTTTATATCAAAATGAATAATTTTGTCTTCCTGTAAAACAAAATGTGACATCAACATTAGCAAAAGAGCAAAGATTTAATAGTTAGATCGTTAGCAGCAGCATGGCTAATGGAGTGTTTCTGCCTATAAAATAAAATAATATAACTTAAATCAGCTCGTTTTAGAACATGGACAGAAAATCTCATGATGATATTCCTTCAGAAAACCTGATGAAATGTTCTTTCATTTCAGAAGAAAATGCCTCCACATAGTCCCTGAACACTGTTATACACTGTTCCTGTTAGTAATTTTATATTATTTTTATTCTGTTGTATAGTTTTTTTTCTTCCGTTTCAGAGCTTTAATGTACGTTTGTGTTTCAGGATCAGTGACTACATGGACCTGACTCCGGTGGACATTGTGGGGAAGAGGTGCTACCAGTTCATTCATGCTGAAGACGTGGAGGGAATCAGACAGTGTCACCTGGACTGTGAGTACCACAAACTATCAAAAGCTCCAGAACAAGCGAGTAAATGTCTTTCCGAAAGAATAACTTCTGTTTTAAACACATACATATATAATTTTATATAGAGTCCCGTTATCCAGCAGCTGGAAGACAGATGTTACTGCAGCCACGTAGCTAACCAACCACCGAAAAATGGAAGATTTCTAACTCAGGGTTAAAGTTTGAACATCTGTCTGACCTGATTGTTTAAATCCAATCTAAACATTGTTCAATCACATGATGGGTAACGCTTTTCAGACACATGTACAGCAATCCACTGATCACTTGTGTGCCTGCAGTTGAGGCTTTTTCTTGTTGTTTCGTTAACAGGACGCTGTTGACGCGTAAATGAGTTACATGGAGGACGTCAGTTAGGTAGTCAGTCGTCCTTCAGCAAGGCTCAGGACACATCTCGTACACTTTGTTTAAAGAATGTGGTTTACATGTGGCCCAGACCGCCTCTGAATGTGGTCTGAGGGATCTGATCTCAATGTGTCTTGGGTGCATTCACAGCTGTACTTAGAGCTTTCCACCAAGATGCAGGTTAATAGGATGTGAACATGAGGACTAAGTACTGCATTTAAGTGCAAGTATATTTGTATTTCAGTTTTTTAATTTTAAGCTCGTTTAAACTTATTCTTACAAATATTGTGCTTTTCACACTACATTTATCTGACAGCTTAAGTTACATTTCAGATTAAAATTTCACATAGAAAACCTATTATGAGTTTCTAAAATGATATATTGTTAAAAGTTAAACCCCATTTTGAGGTTTAACGGTTAACAATATCTTACTTTATGTAACTTAAGTAGGGTAATAACTATAACATTAACAGTGATATAATAGCAGTAATAATCAGATAATATAGTATATTATACGGTAGAATTACAATAACAGGAGACCTGCTGCATATTGAGTACTTTTACTTTCGATACTGTACTGTTTTGTTGCTAATACTTTTATACTTTTTGAATTACTTTTACTTGTATTTTTATGATGTGATATTTCTTCTTTTACTGAACTCAAATATCTGAATAATGAAGATATTACAGCAGCAGTATTTCTGAATTTAAAGTCAGTTAAAGGCCACTTAGAGAATTTTTTCTCTGCTGTATCTTTGAAAAGTTTCCTCACAGCAGCAACTCTACAATCTTATTACCCTTGTCAGGAGGCATAATACACTCCTCCCCGACACACACACACACACACACACACACACACACAGGCGGAGGCAGTGGTTCGGTGTCCCTGTTTAGTGGCTGTCTGGATGATTTGCGGCGTGCTGTTTGTTGCTGCAGTCAGATCTTTACTGTGGTGGTAAAAGCTGAGGAGGCGCTCAGAGCTGCGTGGCGTTTCACGGCGTGTCAGAGGCAGTGAAGGCGCTTGGGCGGAACGCCAAATAATAACAACCACGCAGCAAGGACAACACGCCTGATGGGAGTCAAACCTCAGACCACTACAGTCAGATTCTATCAAACGCTGTCCACTGCAGTCCAATACACTCCGCAATGTGAGCATTTCCTTAAGTTGTGAGTGCTGAGCGAGCTGCATTCACACAAACCCTACATAAATATTCTTTACACTAATGTGACTACTGCAGTGTTTTTACAGCCAGAGTTCCCAACACAGACCTAGGGTGACCATATTTTCAGACCGGGACCCTTAAAGGTCCACTGTGGAACATTTCAGAGGATCTAATGGCAGAAATGTAATATAACATTCATATATAAGGTATCATTGGTGTATAATCACCTGAATATAGGAATTACTGTGTTTTTGTTACCTTAGAACAGGGACCTCAAACTTTGCCATCTGCTAGAAACTGCTAGAAAGATCAATATTCTGAAAATGATATGTAATAAAAGAAATGTAAACAGCAGTTTCTATATTTTTTTTTTTAGCCCTGAAAGTATTAAAAAAGGAATAAAATAATAATATTTCTGAATCATATTATACTTTCATCTACAGACACTGTGGGTTGCTTTCTACGGAGGCCGGAATTTTGAACTGTCATATTTCTACAGTAGCCTAAATTTTGTGGCCACTGTAGTTTCTCCGACACACTTCACAGTCTGTGAGTCCCAGGTCGTCAAAAACAGATGCGAGTGGTGTTCAGTTAGTTGTAATCTGCAATTTCACCAGTAGATGTTCTAAATCCTACACACTGGTCCTTTAAGTGTACCGCACGCTCACATCTATGCACTTTCATCAGGAATGGGGACAATTATTTAATCTGCGGAGCCTTTCAGTACCACAGACGCCATGAACACAGCATTTTTGTTGTTGGGTACTTTACAAAGTTTCCTGGAGGTCTTTAGAAAAGGTTTCTATTCGGCATGACGGCTAACCGTAAAAGGTCATTTTTGATTTCACCTGGACTTTAAAGCCTCTGCAAGAAACTTTGATTTCGTGTTGATTCTGGCGGCCCCTGTGGGCGAAAGCGGTAGTGTTTCCATCGCCTCTCGTCATTGAGATTAAGTGGAATCCGACCCGGTGGCTGTAAATCTCCTCGACTTGTCAAAACACATGTCACATCTCACCATATAGAAAAAGAAAAAAACACGAAATCTCCCTGAAACTTTTTCAATTACCTTCTCCAAAAGTTCCTGAGCTCTGAACATCCAGAGTGGCAATCAGGAAGTGACTCTACGGCGGCCTGGCGGGGTCAGACGGAACAAGGAGGAGGGGGGGAGGTTAGGATGTGTAAAACATGAAAAAAAAGGAAGTGAAATATGGAGGGAGATTATTCCTCTCTGTCTGCTGCGAGGAAGGGAGGTCAGGGAGGCGAGCCGGCAGCCGGTGGTTTAAATGACTTGGTTTTAGTCGAGCGTAGTCTAATACAGCACCTTCAGTCACCTCGGCTGCTCGTTTTATTCTTCCTCTTTCAAAATTAATTTCCTCTCTGAAAGGGGGGCTTTCAGAAATGGATGGCTACGGGGCGCTGGAGGTGCTCCCTGTCTTTCCTCTCTTCATCCTCCCGTCAGATGGAGCGCAGTCAGATTGTTCTGAAATCGGCCTTTTCTTCGGGGCGGTTTAATTCGGCGGCGGCTTTATGAACTCGCTGCTGATTGTGTGGAAGCTGATTTCAGAGCGGCGGGGGTCTAAATGATTCTCAACTGTTTTAGGAAACGTGGTGAAGCTTTCTGCCTAATTGGAGGCGACAGATGTGGTTTGTGTCAGTTTTTAGGGCTGTTTGGTTTCAACGGTCAGAAAGCACGTTCTGTTTGTCCTCTGTGGAACACTGAGGACGATCTATTGGCAGAAATGGAAGATCATATTCATAAGTATGTTTTTATTAGTATTTAATCTCCAGAAGCCCATTTGTGTAAATCATTATAATGACTTTGTGATACTAAGTCAATATTTTGAGAACGTTTCTTATTATAATAACTTCCATAATAATGACCTGAGCCGTTTTTATCTACACACACCGCCTTACATGTTGAACCGCCATGTTTCTACAGTAGCCCTGTAGTATCATGTTTTTCACACGTTTCACAGTCACTGTAGTTTCTCCTTTGTGCTTGGAAGGGGAGGATGACGCGATCTGTAACTACACTGCTTAACGCCACTAAATCGTACACACGGTGCTTATTCGACCTATTGAAAAAAATGTAAAAACCTCATTTACATATATGATTTCAGACATTTACGGCTACAAATACAAAAGCTGTTGTTGCATTTGGAACATTTAAATTGGTTTTATTCTCAAAAGAGAACTGTTTTACAACCTTTTATTACAACCTGTTATCAAAAATACAGTTTGGTCAATATCATCTAAATTATTCAATATAACATAGATGATAGGCAAGTAAAAAAAAAAAAACACAGACAACATTATGTCATAGTTTTAAGATAAGATATATACTTTATTAATCCCCTATATCTTTTTACACACACAGGCTGAAATACACACTGACGCAACGTTAGCAGCGCCCCATGAGCAGTTTCTTGGGGTTAGGTTGCCTTGCTCAAGGGCACCTCAGCAGCGCACAGGAGGTGAAACTGGCACCTCTCCAGCTACCAGTCCACACTCCATATTGTGGTCTGTGGGATTTGAACCAGCAACCATCCGGTTCCCAAGCCAAGTCCTTACAGACTGAGCTACTGTCAAAGATCTTTATGTGGTCAGTGACAGCAGAGCCTCAGGTTGGAATCAAACCCGGGCCACTGTGGTAAGGACTCAGCCTCGCTACATGGGGTTGACGCTCCAGCAGATTAGCTACTTGGTCCATCGGTCCTGTTTAAGGCCCAGAAACCAGAATCAGAAACCACTTCCTGTAGACGAACAGCAGGCAGTTCCTAAAAGAAATCCTGTGATTAAAACAGGCCGTAATATTTCCTCCGTTTCGGTCGCTCACTGACTTTAAACTTCTTCATGTTGTCGTCCGACAGCTGCAGGTTTTCAGGTGAGGAAAAGAGTTTCAGCAGTTTTCTGTTTTTGCACAACAGCGGCAGCTCGCAGGCTCTGATTTTTTTGTGGGATTTATTTCCACGTCTGCTCTCGGTTCCCCCGCTGCTGCAGGAGTCGGATAGTTAGGGAATCGATCAAGGTGTATTTTAGAGGGATAGCCTGTTCTCTCAACAGGGATCTAAATTTTAAAAGGCTTCTTTTTAAGTGGAGGACGAGGCGTGATCCCTCTCTGTGAAAAGGCGTCACTCTCTAAGTCTCTATCATTACCTGCTGACAGCCGGTCTTAGCTCGGGTCAGATCTCAAAGTCAATCTGTCCTCGTTTCCACTCCGAGAACAGAGAGAAAGAGAAAGAGAGAGAGGGTGAACTTCTCTTTTCACAAAGCTAAGGGAAAGAGTGATTTGTCGGCCAGAGAAAGAGGGAAAAAGCAGAGAAATACTCGGCACGAGGGATGAAGAGAAAGATTTGTCTTTTCTCAAAGAAAGGGAGAGAAAAGGGAACGAGTGATTTGCAGACAGGAAAGAAAGAAGAGAGGACAAAATGCTCATTTTCTCAAGGAGAGGCAGGTAAA